ACTCAAGATCAAAGTGCTACACTAGCTTCAAACGCAACTGGGCAATTCCAAAATACATATTTTTATAGGAATTTTTATAGGTATTTCTATAGGAATTCAGCTTCGCACGCTAGCTCGCGTTTCTTCTAAAAACGTCTGTCAGATTGGGCAGATGTTGATCTTATTAGAATGGTTGATGTTGAGAAATTGGTCGTCAATCGTCAAATACTTCTCCGGTCACCTATTCCACCAAGCGAGGCTTCAATGCCATCCTTTCGGACAACGAGTGGCACAAGCCAACGACCAAAAACAGGCAATCACAATAGCGGAACAAGGATTCGGTAGTAAAAACTGAGGCCACTAGGTCCACCTCCGAGATTGTCTGCCGGAGCACAATTGCTTGGCCTGTCGGAAAGTCGATAAAATGCGATCAGGGATGCTTATTGCTTATATCTATGTTAGCATAAACCATCAGGGATTATTGTGGCAGGTGCAATACCACAAAAAACTTCGGAAAACTTTTCAGAAGGCGGCAACAGTCCATGGTTTCTCAAATTCAACAAATGTCATAGAACGTCCATCCCGTCCGAGCAAATCCAATAAACTGCTTTTCTTATCCACTGAACAAGCCTTCGGACTCCCTAAATCCATTTAGCGCCAGCCTTGGGTTTTCCTAGTTCCATCAAAGAAGGCGGGGATCCGCCAACTCATGTCCACGACGAGATTAGCTCGACAAATCTCCTTAATGACGATTCAACTCATAGCATCAACTCACAAGGTAGAGCTTATCCCTCCAAACTTGAGCATATCCAAATGCAGCGCTTGCTTCTTTTCTCTCCTAGATTCGAAACGGAGACAGACGCGCTGGTACACCAGGGTCCGTTTAGCGATATCAAAATTCTGTACCGTTCCGTGTCTGATGCCATAAGATGAAACTAGTCTAAACTGGCTTGGTCTGGATTCCATGGGACAGATAAGTCTGCCATGGTAAGATCATGATCGGTCATACCGGGGCTGGAAGCTGAGTGCGCTTTTGGTTTGGTCTAATTTGTTTGAGCTATTGGATGCAGTGACGAGTGTTATAGGTTTCCAAGCAGTCGGAGCATCAACATCAACTCAACCCATCATGGACACTGTGTTTCGGCTGTGTGGAATTTTTAGCTCAATATATGTTTCAACACCGACGGGCGTTTCCAGCAATGCCTGAAACAGAGGTGCATATAATTTGTGATAACCAAAGTCCTGACTGAAATAACGGCTCTGCGCCAGAAGACATATGTTTCAAGTTCGAACGGACTTATCCTTGATGACCATGCATATTGCATAATCCCTGCCGGGCATTTATTACAACCAAATCGTTCTCTGCATTATCCCAGCATTGTCCCAGTATTGAAACTCACATTCTTACTCGAGCTTCCTATCTTGTAGTTCATGTGCAACTTAAGTTTAGAAATAAACCGCTTACTCAATTACTTTTAACATGAAACAGTAATGACGTGCTTGGTTTACGAAATTTTGAGCTATTTCAACATATTTAGCTTCACGCTGTGAAGTGGGATGTTTCTGCATGCCTGCAAGTTTCAAAACAAGAACCCTAGAAAACAACTTCCCCACATCTAGGCACGCAGGCTCCAATCCTGCTCAGCCAAGACAGGAAAACACGACACCTTTCTGGCATTGGCTCGCCAATTAGAAGCCACCGCTCGCCGCCATTAATTAGCGCCACCACTGATGACGTCACTAATTACTGCCGATGAGAAATGGTGGCGGACAAACCGAGTATCGACCGACACGCAGCCGGACAGACGGCGAGCAGAGTGCTGTGGCGTGTAGGTATAGTCGACCGGCTGACTGCGAGGCAAAGTTTATCTCGATGAATAGCTGCCGCCAAAAGGAACAAAAGGTTTGGTTAGATGAAACCAGATGTTGAAATGAAATACAGAAATGGGACACAAATGGGAGGAAAAGAATGCCAAAGAAGATGTGGCACTACAAGCATGAAGTGCTTCCCCTGGAAAATGTTATGTCGTGACACTGAAAATGAGAAACGAGGAATGTGGTCGTCATAGCATTCAAACATGGCCACTTCTGAGGCGGCATACTCTGATTTATTGATCTTGCTATGCACACCAATCACGCAATCGCTCCAACATTTGTTTGTCGCTGGCAATACAGCAGCACCGTTGAGGAAATAGGATAAATACGTTCAAGAGTCAGATGTGAGAGCTACCTGAACGAACCACCTGAATGAATGAATAAATGAATGAAGGCTGGTCAAAGAAGTGTGAAGTTCTTTTGCCATGTAAACTACTCTGCTTCTACTCGTATTCATGTGCGAAAGCAAACACCAAACGCATTTCGGTCAATGTCTCTCCTTCAACACGAATTCTGTCAGTTTCGGTGCCAACTTTTCCTACGGTGCACTCGCTGAAAAGCATTTTCCATTCCAACATCCACCTCGCACGACCATGGTGCGCCGCTGTTCCTCCACGGGCAAACTTTTCCCGGCCGAGTGCGATCGAGAGGGAGGAAGCCTGTTGACCTTTGAGCTCGGTCTCTCCAAAAGCCATTATTTGACCACTCTCGCATCTGAGCCCAGTTCAGGGACAGGCGAGATCCGCAACAGCCGAAAAGTCCTCAATGAAAGTTTACGCTTCTAACATGGCGAGCTGAAGGTTTACGAGACGACAAAACGATCGTACCTAGCCCCCAAAAACAATGAAAAACGTTCTACTCCACCTGTACTAAAGTTTTAGTATGAGTGGAAAATATATTTGCGCTTCTAATTCCGGCTCCCGAAAAAGCGATAACATTGTAGACAAGCTTATGAGGAGCTAAACAAGCTACATCACGTTACTAAGTTTTAACGTAATTAAAAGATATCTCACAAACCAGTGTACCCGGGACAGTGATCCACGACTTGCTCATCATAAAGGCCTGGCTACACTATGCGTTTGCTGCGTGCGTTTTTGCAGGTTTGCGTGTTTTGCGTAATATCATTCTAGGAAAAAAGTTAAAAACAATATAATTTTTACTTTGGTTATATACAAAGGCTAATATAACTGTTATGTAACTAAAATTTAAGGTGAAAAACATCACAAAAACGTAATATCGTTCTTTTCTCTAGAACGATATCACGCAAAACACGCAAACACGCAAAAAAAACGCACGAAGAAAACGCATAGTGTAGCCAGGCCTTAACTCATACTAAACACTCGTCGTTCAGCATAAGGTTATAAGAACAAATTCAACCCTCAGACAAATGTAATGACGTGAGGAGGCTGCAAATTCTCGCTGCCTGGTTTTCCCTGTTGTGGGAACTTCTAAGATAGTTTAAGGTCCTTGGGATCAACTAGGCTCCTTGGGATCTTGCCCAGGGGGGCGACACGGCTATTCGCGCAATGTATTAATTTATGGGTCGCGCGGGGCCTCGCGATGACGCGGCTGGAGGCAACTGCTCAGCGCGCTAGGATACTTCTGGCGGGGCGGGGCGCTGAAGGATGTGCAATGAATGGGTTATGGTCGGGCCGACAGAGATGAGGTATTGAATTTGAATTGACATCAGCAATCGGGTGGGGAAGGAGAACGTTCCTAATCGAGCTTGGGTTGGGGAAAGCCGAAAATATCGCGATCGGCTCATAGCTCAGACAGGGCCGGGTGCCGTACCATGTGTTGTATACATATTTAGGCGGGCAGACAGAGATGAGTTATTGGATTTAAATTCACCTTACCATCGGTTTCTGGTGGGGTTTGAAAATGGTTTTAGTCAAGCTCGGAGTGGGGCAACCCACTGGCGGATCCAGGGGAAGGCATTTGGGGCAAATGTCTTCCCCCACATTGGCAGCGCCCGAAATCGCATTTCGAGAATCAAAGAAAACTTCACAACTTTTCTGAGGAAATGTTGGTTAATCACACTGCACAGCAGTGCGCAAGGAATCGAAATCAGAGTTTTTTTTTCAAATTAATTCCGAGAAACCTTTTTGGGGTAAGCCCCCGCAGTGTCCAAGACCGCTTCCTGGATCCGCCAGTTGTGAATAAGTCACGGTCGATACCGAGCTTCGGCGGGACCAGGCGCTGTATACGTTGTTCTTTCAATGAAGAGGTGGACAGACATCTAGCCCCACATCCTACTGCTATGCCCGTGCTTCTGTGGGTGAAGCACTAAAGCATCACGGAATCCCACAGGACCTGCGAGTCGACGAGGTGGGCCGCTTTGGCCACCGGGTACTGCAGCTCCCTGGAGTTGCCTGGGACCGATGGCAAAACAACAGCTCCGGCGGTGCCCCTATGGGCCGTAGTAATTAGCGAATTCCTGTAATGTAGAGATCATATCCTCAATAATCTCCATTACCATTTTATATTCCTAAACAGTATGACAGAACAATTATGCTTGCCTACGTTCAGGCATTACCTCTGATGGTCATACGTCCAGTACAACATGTGTTGTCTGTCAAACAACAATCGACGACGGGATCTCTTCTCATTATCTCTTAAGCCATCGGTTGTCAATTCACCCACCCCGTTTCCCTAAAAATAGACGGTCAGATTCGGCCTGGGTCCTTACGACTCCTCTAGATTCGCCAGAGACGGGATCGGATCGCCGTTATTGCACCCGTCTTAGTGTCTTTAATACTATGACAGCTTCGACCACGGACTTCGGACGGGGTGATCGTTCCACGAATGTACGAACCATCCAGGCCTAGAGTGCATCGAGGTTTAAAAGAATGCAGTCTGTAGATCAATAAACATAACAATGGTGGTATACAACCACATTAAAATATCTCCCCGGCTCCCGCAACGTTCCAACGCCCCTCCGTTATGCATTCGCCTTGTGTGTCCGCCGAGCCGGCTTGCCTCCAATGACGTCATCGGCCGGCCGGCGGCGTTCAAGGTCAAACGGCTGGTGTCCTTACCTGGAGTTCTATAGCCTTGATCTTGCCAAGGCCGATGGTCGATCTTGCTGTTGGCGTTCGGTGATTTCCAGTTTTCTTGCTGACCTGAACGTGCCATTTCTCCGGCAGGTCTCTCATCATGGGACCAGCGACAGTGCGGCGTCGATCTGGGCCAGGAGCTGCAAGCCCTCATCGATGCCAACCCGGAGGGAGAGCAGTTCAAATTCGGTAAGTCATGAATGCAGTATGTAGCTAGTACTATGCAGTATGCAGTAGCTGTATGCCAAGTCCGTAAACGGAAGAAAACACAGGCTATACGCGTGATTAATGGTCATGATCTTTGGGAAAAGCCATTAAACGTGTTTCCGGTCATCATTTATAGCACTTCGTCTAGCAAAACTCAGTTTTAGTTATTACTAATCTCATAAATACCGTACATAACCGTCTAATATGAGATCTGCATGTCCTGGAACCTTCTAATAGAATGAACTCAGATTTGCACTCGTTTGCACATCATTGCCAGCACGCGACTTTGTCGTTCTTGTAAGACATGTAACAAGACATATGATAAGTCAAGAAGCAAACATAGCAATGCATTTTTTGGCTGTCCAGTCTCAATTGCACATGCTTGGTTGTGCTCAGGGCTGCGGAGTCGGAGTCGGAGTCGGAGTCGGAGTCGATTTTAGAAACCCGAGCCGGAGTCGGAGTCGGAGTCACCGAAAATCTGTCGACTCCGCAGCCCTGCTAGGTCTGCGGAGTCGGAGTCGGGAGTTGGAGTCGGTCGGAGTCGGCAATTCTGCCCGGAGTCGGAGTCGGAGTCGGAACTGGTTTTTGAAAGCCGGAGTCGGAGTCGGAGTTGGAGTCGCCGAAAATCCATCGACTCCGCAGCCCTGGTTGTGCTCATTGTTTAGGCCTTATATTCCAAATGGTAATCGGTAAATAACGGATCAGCAGGTTGAACCAAACGACAAGCAAAATAGATCAACGGACCAGCAGAATGGGCCAACGGACCACTGTGCGGTTATATGGCTGTTTTGGTTGTCACTGCATTGCTTCTGGGTGATCCTATTTAGGCAGTTACCTAGCCCGTATGAACGCTGTAACTTTTTTAATAGTATGTCAACATAATGGATCAAGAGGATTGAGGAACCAAATGTCTAATCCATATTGTTTTGCTGATGAGCTTCTGCTTACCTCACCAACTCAAACGCTATAAGAAAACACATTTTTTACCAGAGCCTGTAAAAGGTTCCACATGTTTTACCACAGAAAAGTAATTTTAAAAGTGTGCCTCGGTTGGACACACATGTAATGCAAAGCCATCCTTTCTGATATTACTGAATGAAGTTCAAGGAAGACTTTTTGTGTGGCGTTAAAAGCCTTGGACTTCCGTGCCGCCTAAAACATATTTTACACCATGTCTACACCAGTGTCATTATAGGATCATAAGCGCTGTCATGGACCTTCCCCTTTACTTGCATTCCTCTCCAAATAGCGGCCCGTTACGTAAATAAGGTCAGTGAAGTCAGAGCTGCAAGTTTTGCCAACGACCAGTGTTCAGGCCCATTTTAGGCTAAAACCGCCAGCGAGCAGTCTGGCAGTCGGCTGCGGATGGGCAGACATCACGGAACCACGGCCGTCGGCCACGTTTCATTTCGTGGCCAGTGTCGTGATTTGACAAATGGACACGGGTTGTTGACACGACATGACACACCCAAAACGGCCCTAAGGAGGGAGGCATGGAACCACCCCGCCCCGCACGGTAGCGCTGCTGAAGCGCTTAGCACGGCACATGTGTCAGCTAAAAGTGCAGTGTAGCGATGGGCAGCATAAAAGAGAAAAAAGAACAGAGATGCAGAGACCCGAATCGTGCGATGGGCGATGGGACGGCAGGTAGGACGGCTGTGGCCACAGAGATGACAGGTTTCGTGCCTAGGCCTGAACGGTCACACTTTCGATCACTTCTCTTCTCTTCTCTTCTCTTCTCATCTCTCCTCTTCTCTTCTCATCCGACCTCTTCTCTTCTCTATCCTCAAATTTCGTTGCAACTTCCTCCCTCTTCGCTGTCTTCCTCCCACATCCTCTCAAGCTGACCGATTGGTGTCGAACCCCTGTCACTTACCATTGTGAGTTGGCCACCGCTAGAGGGGAGAATTCCTCACCGAAAATGAGCAGCGGCAGCCGCCATCTGGTCGACGCGACAAAAACTAGCGACCTTGTTGATGACCCCGAATGGGGGCACGGCTCATTTCCGGGGCTTTTCCGGCTTCCCTCTGCCGTTTCCCGCGTGTCTGGGTGTCTCTCCGGTGGCTGCCATCAGCCATTCAGGGGAAAGAGGGAGGGGAAGAGAGAGAGACCCGGATGTCGGCCACCAAGGCAGACTGAAGCAGGGATCGCAGGCGCGACAGTCCTGACTGATTGGCTGATTTGCTGCACCAGACAGACGAGTGACGCTAAGTGAGGACCATCGAGCGACCAGACGGAATCGTGCGTTTTGCTGGTCGCGCCACACGACTCGAGAAGGAGCAAGAAAACTCAGACGGAGACGAAATGGCAGAAGCAGTGAAAAGATAAACGAGAGGCTCAGGATGAGCGCAGATTGCCAACTTTTTTGCTCACCAGTGACCCTGAAATGAAGAGTGAAAGGATTTCTGTTCTCCATAAATATCATATATTTCAATCAATATGCAGATAAACCTGGCAACCAACTGCTACTGCAGAACACTACCTAGGTACGCCAGGACGATTCACATTTCTGCTGTTCAATTCGCCCCATCCGCAATAAAAGCATTTCATCTCTCAGCTAACGCAAATACATTCATCTGCGTTCCTGACAAGCCTCTGGCATCGATTTGGCCACGTGCCAACAGGGCAGGGGCGCCTCCAGCATGCGATTATCGGGTCGTTGAGCGGGCCATCAATGCCGCGACCTAGCCAGTGTCGCCGGAGGCAGGCCGCAGGCGCGTAGACAAATTACTGACGCCACTGGCGCAATAACGACCTCGTCAGCGGCGATGTAAAGAGCCGCTTAGTATTCATGACGCCCAGGCATGCTGGCACTTAGCAACGACATATGTGGGACGTAAAATTGGAACACGGTTGGTTGACGGCTGAATTCTTTTAACGATGGAAATTTAACGTTGGAATTAGGGAGATGGGTATTTTGTCCCTCGAGTGACGCAGACGATTCATTCATCTTGTTTTAATTTCATTGCAACGGTAGACATGGTGAAAATTGCTACACGGGATAAGGAAAGCATTCGTTAAAAATGCTTATAAAATAAAATTGCAGCTATGAAATTAATTTTGGAAGCTTGTAGGCATAACCTATATTTTTTGGCTTCAGGCTGGTAAAAGATTAGTCATATTAAAATGATTGTTCACTTACGTGTACGCCAGTCAGTCAAATCACCTGGACATTGGCGGATCCAGAGAGGCCGTCTCGGAAGCTGGGGGCATATCCCCCAAAAATATTTCATTATTCCAAAAACTCTCCGGATTTCCATTCTACATTAATTGCTGAACGTTTTTCAGCAAACTTTTCCACATAGAAAGGGTTAAATTTTCTTTCCATTCTACAAAAATAGCAAAGTTTCATTGATATCGGGCCTTTACCTGAAATGCACCCTCGCCCTTGGATTTGCCAGTGCACCTAAATACCTTATCGCTTTCATTCCAATCTCGTCCGTTCTAAACACTCATCTAGTCGCTCCGGCCTATTCGGCACAGTCTCCATCTCATACACACCACAGCTACAGCAAAACCATCTGAAGCGTTCACCAATACCCACCAATCACCATCGCTGCTGAAGAGGTGCTTCGGCGGTCAATCTAACCCAACCGAGCCCCGGGAGGACCACCGAACGACAAGCGCCATCACCGCTCCGCTCTGCGACTTTATGGGAACGGTGTGAAATTTGCCATCGCTGACACCGGTCGCTTACGAGCGCCGCCAAGCGTAGTGGTTTAGGGTCGCCCGCGGGCGGTTCAGGCTCGCGGCACATGGAGATATGGGCTGGGATCGAGCGCAGCGTTCAGCTGGAAAAGCGAGAAACTTGCGGACGAGCTAATGGTACTCGTGTCGTGTCTTTGAATGCATACACTCGTCGGCGCTTAACATTATGAAAAAACGGTTACAAAATTCTATGGGATAGACCTGATAATCATAAAGAGACAATTAATAATTGACATCATCTTTAACCCGCGCACCGACGGGGGGGGCGGATATCCGCCCCCCCCCCCCTGAGGTTTTTCGCGAATAGCGGGAAAACCGCGGCGCGTAGCGCCGCGAAATTTGGTATGACTATTCCCTCATCAATTTTACACATGGTGTGCAAGTTTGAACCTCCTACCTTTCAAGGTCAGGTCACCAGGTCACTTTGAATGACCCAACCTCAAGTCACTTTTTTGCAACTTTGTCACCGTGCCAGAGCTACAGTAGATGTCGGAGGCCTTTGAAAGTCGCAGGATGTTATTAGGTCATTAGTAGCTACAATTTGCATATCTCGGAATTTTGATATCGGTGACCTAAGGTCAGGTTAATTTCGCGACCTCCCCATTATAAGTCAATGGGGGAAAAATCAACTCCCTGTTTTTACCACTAAAACGGGTCGGAATGGCCCCATATACCATACATGACTTCATATACGATCAACCTTCACTACCTTGAGGTCTGTTTTGCTGTTGGGCAGCTGTGAGGTCATGTGACGTCATCAAAGGTCACCAAAGGTTTTTGGCCAATAACTCCGTACAGGAACAAGATACAGACGCGTGGATGGTCTCATTGTGTTCAGCTCGTCAAGACGCATCGAATGATATATATGATGACCTCGAGGTCACGTGACCTGAGGTCAACCTTTGACCTTGACCTTTTGAGGTCAATATATATATTATTCGATGCGGATTGACGAGAGGATCACGATGCTGCCCTTAGTTTGTTCCTATCTTGACTAATTCGAAAGTTATTCGAGAAAAACTCTCTCCATATCCAGCGCCGCCATTTTGACTTTTTCGACCCCTGTGACGTCATCTTTGACCTGACCTGAAAATGACCTTAGTAAAAATTGTAGATCTTGACCGTGCGTATCCGATGCCGTTTACCGCTTGTCGCTATCTTGCTTCGTTCTCGAGATCTCAGGGGGGGCGGTCATCCGCCCCCCCCCCCGTCGGTACGAAGTTGGCGCAGACCCCCGTCGGTGCGCGGGTTAAACTACCATCTATTATCAAAGGATCCGTTAACATTACTTTTCTTCTGTAGACCAAAACAAGCCACAGACAACCAACCGAAACCACAGCACCCTTCCCTTTCACATAGGTACCCCAAAATACATTACATGATTACACCGTCCACCTGACGCCTTCTCTCCCATCCCCTCAGGAGAACGACTAATCCAGTTCGCCAGCGAGAACATCGTGGCGGAGATCCTGGTCAACCCGCAGGTGTACACCTTCCAGCAGTGTCTGAAGAACATGCTGGCCAGCTTCACGCGACACCGGCACCTCATCCATGCCGGCTACGTCTTCAGCGGAAACGGCTCCTGGATACTGCAGGTGGGGTGACGACGTCGGGTAGTAGCAGTCCAGACACAAGGTGACACGAATAAAACGTAAAAGTACTGCATGCAAAAGGCTAATTGCAGCAGTCGTGGAAGGAAAAACGTGGAAGCTAGGTGTAATTGCGGCGTTTCGGTTGTTTGTCATTCGTTTTGCTAACCAATATTTGCAAAACAAAACTTTGCATTCACATCTGATAAAAAGACAAACGCCTTTTGCTACCAGTTATACGTATGTACTTGTAACGAGTGGGAGATGCTTTTTTATTCCATGAAATTAAACATCAGATATATGCCGCCAAAAGTCTCCATAGGTCAGTGTGCACTGTGCAGCAATGTCCTTCAACGACCTACGAGTGTATTAATCACTTCAAAAGTGTAGTGCAGTTGGAAGCTGCACCTGTTTACGATCGCTCTGTTATGACCTATGCTAACTTCCACTACGTGTTCATCATGTTCCCAGGACGGCACGTTTAGCGGCAGCGACCTCTTGGACGCGCTCCGAGAGACCGACGTACAGCGCGTGACGCGAGCCTACGAATCCAGCCTGAGCGTGCACATCCACTGTCCTGAGGAGGGCATCTGGCGCTCAGAGTCGCTGCTCAAAGACCCCGTGTTCGCCGCCAGTAAGGTCTCAATGAACCCCCCTGACGGCGACTCGTCCCCGGCCCAGCTGGTGGCGTTCCGAGATTACCTATCCGGCTTCCTGACTCCTGCCTCGCTCGAAGACCTCCTCAACCCTTCCGACGTGGTGGGGAACATCCGCTTCAGCAGGCCCACACTCTACGTCTTCCCCGGCGGCCAGGGAGATGCGGCCATGTTCGGAATCAACGGCTTCAACATTCTGTTCGATGGCGGCTTCAGCCGGCGCACTTGCTGCTGGAACTTCGTTCGTCATCTCGACCGACTTGACGCAGTGCTGATGTCAAGGCTAAACAACGGGAATCTCATGGGAATGTCGGCCATGCTACAGCGCAAGGTGGATAATGCCACTTACCCTCAGATGGGACACTTCTTTGCCAACCTCGTGGACCAAAAGTCGGCAGTCGATGTCGACAAAGACGCCGATCCCCTCCTGGTGAACACGCAGCTCGAGGCCCAGAGACTGCTGGAGAACCTCAGGGCGTTGTCTCTGAAGCCGACGCCGTGTCTTCGAGAGAATTCGACTGAACCGATCAATCTCTATCACAAGGTGGGACACGGACGGCTGGACCTGTATGTGCTCAACCCTCAGAGAGACGCCAATGAAATGCAGGCCTTCCTCCGGAGCTGGACGGAGGGACCCGACCAGTCCCGGGTTACACTCCGCGTCAAAGGCAGAGAGTTCCCAGTGGCAAACTTGGTGTCCATCTGCTGTCTGCTTGTGTGGGTGCCAGACGATCGTCACGACACAGTTACTCGACTCCTCTTCCCCGGCTCCACCCCTCAGCAGAAAGTGTTCGAAGGTCTCGACCGACTAAAACACCTTGACTTCATGAAGACACCAGTGTGCTACGTCAAGTCGCTCGGCGTCAAGAAGCACAAGACACTCGACACGCTGATCAAGTCTGGAACGAAGGCGCCACCGATCGGTTCACGTGCAGAGAGAATCGAGAGGGTAGAGGTGGAGCAGAAGCGACGTGTTCGATCAACGAGCAGACACACACGAAACGGCGACGCAACCGACGCTGTCAAGAAGTCCGACAGAGGTGACAAAGAGCTGCTCGCTGAGATCAAAGCCAAGAAACAGGAGGCTAACAAAGAACGAGCAGAGAGGGCTCCCGCTGCGAAGCCAAAACCGCCAAAAGCAGAGAAGGTAGATCAGCCGAAAGAACCTCGGCCTGTTTCTGTACCACGACAGAAGAAGGCAAAGGACCAAAAAGATGACAACAAACAGACGGACGAAAGCTCCGAGGGTAAAAATGGTAGCGTAGCCAGTCTTCCGAAGGAGGAGAAGGAGCAAACGCCAGTGAAGACGAAGAAGGACGTCAGCAACAAAATGATTGTTGAGGAAAAAAAAGTGTCCCGAACAACAACAAAAGCAAAACAGACTAAAACCGACACGAAAACCAAGACCACTGAAAGCAAGGTAGCATCAAAGACCACCGATACCAAAACGGCGAAGGCCGGTGAGGTGAAGAAACCCGCAGAGAAGGCAAAGATGCGCCAGGACACGAAGAGTGAGAAAGTCACCGGTGCGAGGTCTCGCGTGAAGCCTCCTGCATCCCCGAAGCACGTCCGCAGCATCAAGCCGAAAGCCGCACAGGGGGCTAAACCGCCAGCAACATCAACACCAAAAGCAAAGGCGAGCCAGGAACAAGAGGTTAGCACAATGCGAGGAAGTGGTGACATCGAGGAAGTCACAATGGCAGGCGATATGCTAACGGTGACAAAGGTCACCACCGAGGTGCAGCGATTCATCGAGGAAGTACAGGAAGGTGATTCCCTTGAGCAGGTGAGCGGCGACTTTAGCCGCGAAATCGAGACAGACTCCCTCGAACTCCGCAAAGTAGATGAAAAGGTTGATAGTTTGAAACAAAGTCCAACCACAGACGACTCGAAAGATCTTAGACAGTCCTCAGAGGAGGTTTTGCGCCGAACAGATATTGAAGAGGCTGTGATACTACGCGCTACCAGTGAGCAAAAATCTCCACCACGTCCATCTGAAGAGCAAATGAAGCTTGCCGACTTAGAGCGGGTGTCTACTCAAAAGAAAGATGCTGTCAAGACTCCAGATGAGGTTGCAGAGCTTCCTGAACATGAAGCACTGGAAATCTCGGAACATGAGGTACAACACATGCGGACAGAAGAGCGTGGTAGAAGTACCGATGTCATGACGGCGAGTCACGAGCCTCCAACAGAAGACGACACGGAGAAAGAGAAGGAGTCGGTCGCTGAGGAGAAGCTCACATCGCCAAAGGGCGAAAAAGACGAGCTGAATCGTCGCACCAAAGACAACACACCAGAGGAGCCCCAGGACGAGGAGCTCCCGTCAGCAGACATGGGTGCTGAAACACGCGAATCCCCCAGCCCGACTCCAGGTTATGTCGAGGGAGGGGAACCCAGTCCAAAGAACTCTGGACATCTAGATGACATTTACACCTCACCGAGACGGGACATCTACCCCATTGGCGAGCCGTACGTGGAAAAGGGTGTGGAGGCTGAGACCCGACACGAGACAGTGCAGCAAGAGCGCGCGGAGACGGTGATGCTAGCTAGTAGTACCACCACCCCTTCACCATCATCACCCTCACGGGATCGATGGGCCACTGAGGCACCACATCTGCCTAGCGTCGACGAACGGTCTCTGGAAGAGGCGGTGCCGAGGGATGTCAGCACCGCGAGCGGTGTGACCGAGCTCAGCACGGTAAAGATCGAGGATCTGTACTGTGAATCAGACAAGGTGACGCCTGAGACACAGACTGAGTCCAAGGAAGCCGACACAAAAGTGTCACCGATTGAGGAGTCTGCCAAAGATGATTTGAAATATCTTCAAAAAGATATGAAGACCACCGATATCGTCAAAAAGTCACCAGAAAAGACAGAAGAGGTAGCCAAACAAAAAGAGTTCGTCAGGGAGGGCGTTGAAGAACAGTATCCCACAAAGGAGGATGAACCATCAGCTCCCGGTACTAAGGCTCTGGTGGCACAAGACGACGATGCCCGAATTCAGGCTTTCTTGAGTGAACAGGCACTTCTGGTGCAAGGAGAAACTGAACCATCTGAGCCTAAAACAGTCGTAGATTTTTCACAAGATTCAACGGTGACTCCAGACATTCGTAAGGAGGCCTCTCCAACTGAATCAGTACCCGCTGCCCCAGCTGGAAAAGAAGATTCGGAAAAGATCACAGAGAAAACTTCGGAAGAGGAACCTGCTCAGCCGTACCCAGCAGCTCAGGACAAACCTGCCGATGACGCCAAGGCTGAGAAGACTGAAATCACTTCGTCGCCTAAGCCAGCAGTATCAGACGTGCCTTCAGTTGATGAGAAACATATCAGCAAGGTGACTCAAGAGGTTACCACGGCCGCATCCCCGACACCACTCAAGTCTGAAAAAGAGGCTGCTCAGAGAGCTACCGACGACGAAAAGAGAGAAGAAGACATATTCCTACCAGCAACGACTAGCGAGAAACCATCACCACTCGAGCAGGAGGTTCATCTAGACAAGCAAGAAGAAACTAAACGGATCAGTGAATTCCTTCAGGAGCAAGCGTCACTAATAAAGGCTGAAGGTGAAGTTTTAAGTAAGGCCGACGATCAAGAAGTTTCAACAACAGCACGCATTTCACAAGGCGCTGATGAGAAGGCTCAACACGAAGTTAAGGTCTCAGCGAGTGAGACAGATATCCACCCACCCATGGATGATTCAAAACCTCTGCTAAAGGAAGCAGAGATCAGCGATGAAAAGCTGAGAGACCAGAGTGGTAAGCCTACATCCGATGAGACTGAAAAACATCATGAAAGCCATCTAGCAGCTGAAACCGTCCAACAATCGTTAGCTGTAAAGGGTGAAGAGCCCAAGAGAGAAGGCATTGCAGCTGGTGAGCCGCAAGATAGATTAGCAACGGATGCAAGCATTAAAGAACCAATCAGCATCACTACACCGGATGCGAAAGGACGCGAAGAGATTAAGTCTGCAGCTGACGATGATGAGCCTGTGTCTATGGATTCGAAGGTAAAAGAAAGCCCAGGGGATGATGACAAAATTTCCACGTTCCTAAAAGAGCAAGCGTCGCTGGTACAGGAATCCCACGAACCATCGGAAGGAACGCAAGCAGCGTCCCCAGTTCCGGAAATTTCACAGCTGCGTGACGCTGATAAGAGAGATTCCCAAATGACGACGGCAGAGGAAATCATCGTGAAGGAAAAACCTTTGCAGGATACTTCCAGAAGTCCAGCAGAACCATCGGATATTCCTGCAGATAGCTCACAAAAGGAAAGTGCGCAGGTTAGTTCGACAAAAATACCCGACGAAGCCTCTCCTCACGCTGATCGAGAAGAAGCGAAGCCAGCAGAGGTATCTACCGAAATCCGCACAGCCCCAGAGGCCAAAAAGGACTCCGATAAAGAGATCAGCAAAGAAGCCATTAAAATGTCCCCAGACCAAGCCACTAGACCGGAAGACGCTTTAGATGAAGTCAAACAGCATGCACATGAGACTAGCGACGAGCTGGCAATACCCAAGGTGTCCAAGAGCGCTCCAAAGGATGAACAGGTTGATGCCTTCCTCCAAGAGCAGGCAGCACTCATCCGAGCGGAGAAATTTGATGAAGCAGAACCAACAAAAGAGAGCAAAGTGGTAGATGACGGCAAGATTATGTCAACTACTCAATCTGTCTCCAAGGAACCAGTAACCGTAAAGGCCGAAACCAAAACTGAGCCCGAACAGACACCTCCAGCAAAGACGAGTGAAGGTCCAACAACACTTGATATCAAAGAGCCTGACACTGTGCAGCGTGATGACAGCAAAGATGACAAACAAATTACCGAAACGATCAAACCTACAGAGCTTGATACCAAGACCGAACAGCCGGTTGTGAAAATGCCTGATGAAAAGGATGTGAGTGCACGTGAGCTTCAACAAGAAAAAGATATTTCCCCAGAGGCAGCCGAACAGGGTATGAAAAGTATTTCATCGGATGCACCAACGATGGAATCGTCTACGATTGGTGTTTCGGAGGCTAGGAAAACGACGTCATATACGGAGCACGTTTCTACGTCATCTGTTACAAGCATAGTGAAGACCACAGAAGAGGATTCACAAGATACCAAACATGAGCAGTTTATATCAACACTTTTGAAAGAACAGACTGGAACAGACATGTCGGCGCCAGTCCAAGACGTAAAGCAAGTAAGTGAAAGCTTAGAGAGTGCTACCTACGACAGGACATACACACCAGAAGTACCCATTTCCGATACAGAGAAGCCGAGCCAACAAGAGATACATGCATCCCAGCCAACAGCGGAAGCACGGACGCATGAACCCACATCAGCACCTGTAACGCCTCATGGAGAATCTGAAGCAGTACCAAAGGAAAAAGATGGTGATGTGCGGGATGCAGATTCGAAACCAATCAGCTATTTTGAAGAAACAAAAGTCGTCAAGGACGGCAAAACGATCACTTCGAAGGATGACAAGCCCTCGAGAGATCAATCAACGACCGAACTAACGCCTGCCCTTTCAAAACAGGAGCAGTCACCAAGCCTAGCATCATCAGTCCCAGAAGAGGAGCCATGCTTTGACGACAATGCACAAATCAATGCCTTCCTAACAGAGCAAGCAGGACTGGTCAAAGACAGCCAGTCTGAGGAAATAATCCAAGACGTGGAAGAAAAGGCTTCTGAACCAGACACTGCTGCTCGTTCCGAGGACAAGGACCACGTTGATGCTTTCTTAAAGGAACAAACTGATCTTATAAAGGACACAAAATCTGAAGAGAAAATTGATGTCAAGGACATTTCAAAAGAGCATGTGACTATAACTACAAGCACCAAGAGTGAGGAACGAAAAGTCAGTAAGCCGTCTGAAGGAGAGCTTGGCAGAGAAGATGCTCAGAAAGAGTCAACCGAACACAAAACCGAAAAGGTTCAGCAAATCGAAGCGATAGTTCCTTCATCTGAACATCATGTGGAAAAGGAGGCTGAACACTTCAAAGAAAAAGAACAGGAAAAACAGATTCAGGAAGAGTTGCATGGCAAAAAGGAAGAAAAGGATGATGATAGCGACAAAGCAACATCAGCCATCACCAAACCCAAAGTTGAGGCAGTCATTGGAGAACATACTGCTTTTGTATCTGAGGCAGAGCATGTCAGCGCGCCACATGATTCTGCATTGCATAAGCCAATTAAAACGCAAGAAAAATCATCTGTTCCCACGCCTGAAGATCTTCAAGAGAAAGAAAAAACAGTGAGCCAAGAAATTCCGCCCATCAAGGAAGTCATTCCAGAGCCCGCCGTCACACTGGACACGAAAATAGCGCCAAAGGTACTTGAAGATGCTCCTCACAAGCCAGACCACCCTTTCGAAGGTACCCATGTTCCAGTTCCTGCATCACCCGAAGTTGTTCTTAAAGAACAAGTGGAGCTGGTAAAGGACACCACCGTCATCAAGGAAGAAGCCGCTGCTAAAGAAACAAAACACTATGAAGAACCCGAGAAGGAAACAAAGCCAGCAGGGGAAGCATCTCTCTCAGACGTTAAGTCTGATCAAAGCTCAACTCAGGAACGAAATATCTTACCTGCATCTACTGACGCAGAGGCAAAACCTAAAGAACAGCTACCAGCAGCAAAGAAGACCGAGTTCCAAGAAGTTCAGGAAGGCGAAAAAGCTACAAAACAAGAGGCGAGACAAGAGGTGCGTATTGAAGAAACCAAGCAAGACGTGGGCATTGTCAGAACAGAATCACCTGAGACAACTTTCCTAAAAGAACAAGCCAAACTGGTGCAAGAGACTGTTCCCGTTCAGGATGATGCACATGTCAAAGAGACAAAGGCACCACCAAGTATAGCTACGACGGAGTCGCCAGAAATGGCCTTCCTCAGAGAGCAGGCAGAATTGGTGAAGGAGAAATATTCAGTCTCGGATGATGGATCGGAGAAAGAGGGCAAGCTGGACGATGGCAAGCTCGCGACAAGCGCTGTTCCATCAGAGGAGCTCAAAGATACTTCCAAGGAAACTGAAAAACTGTCACAAATTTCTACCACAGACGGTCAGAAGCCTGCGACAGGAGAAATTGCTGGAGGAAAGATTGATGAAAAGAAGGACGATTCCGTTGTTCATGTGGTTGACGCAGACAAGAAACAAGCGCACGACTCAACGCTAGTCGAAGAAAGTGCTCCACAGAGGCAGACCGACATGAGTCCTCAAGCAACTGATAAGACATCGATTGTTTCTGATGTCAGGACAGAATCTCCAGAAACAGTCTTCCTGAAAGAACAGGCAGAGCTGGTCAAAGAAACAGAACCCACTCAAGAGCAAGTTACTGGCAAAAAGACCACAGAAATGACGGGCTTGGTGACCAAAGAAACAACTGGTACGCTAGAAAAATCAAAGGATCACTTACCATCAGAAAAGATAGAAATACCTTGCAGCGAAGCGTCGTCGACTACAAGAGCAGAAGCATCTCCTTCTCAGACTGCAGCACCTGTCGAAATTGAGTCAATCGAGACGCAGCCACTGTCATTAGCCGAATCAACCACTAGCGAAGTCTCCGTGTCTAGTACTCCATCAAAGAAGACGTCGTACATCATCGAAGAATATGAAGTTATCAGTCCACGCCGACGTCAGCAATACGAAGATGTGGAAGAGATTGTGACCTACAGTCCAAAGGCAGGATCACGAAAGGTGAGCGAAGTGAAGGTCATCAGCAGCGCAGAAGAACCTTCATCTCGCACGTCTGAGCAACAGGTCGCTGTAGAGAAGCTTAGCGAACAAACCGCTTCAGTCATGCAGCACACAGCTGGTATTACCAAAGAAGAGTCCAAGCCCATATCAGTCAGTGTTCTATCAGAGTCGAAGCCCATATCAGTCAGCGTTCTATCGAAGAGCGTTGAAATGACTCACTCAGGCAAATCATCCGAGGTGGACCCTGCTGATATCGAAGAAAGGGTAGAATCCGTTCAGGCATCCCACAGCAGCTATAAGGCACCTACGAGACTGACTGGCGATGAAGATGTGTCAGCTGATATCACAACACGTTCTAGTGTTGATTCTGACATTGAGTCTCAAATTCAAACCATTAAAGCTTTTGAAGAGAAACTGATAACAGAAGACATCGAAAAAGGCCTTGAAGAGCAGGTCATGGCTAAGGAAGTGTCGTATACCAGCCACGCCGAGCCACCATCACGCTCAGAAAAACGCGACACCGACACTGGACCAGTACCTACAGCCAGTCGAGATATTGATGAAGATGACTTGATGACTCAAATACTAAGTGGCAAAGACATAGCGACTGATGCTGCTAAAGACAAGCCAGTTAGCCCCAAGGATACAACCGAGCCCACAGGGAAGGAAATGCCCAAAATGTCGCCCCAGAAAGACGCATCAGACGATGAAGACGTCGTGAAGGAAAAGGTTTCGAGCTTCGACGACCCGATGGTCTGTGGAAAGGACGACAAATCACTGCCGCACAAGGTCACAACTGATCCTGCATTTGACCACTGCAACATCAGCCCTACGAGCGCACAAGCGGGCATTGAAGACGCTCTTCTACAGACGGGAGCCAGTTTAATCGCAAAGTCTTCCAGCTACGAAACGCTGGCCGCTGCAGCTGGAAAACTGGATGACAAGCCACTAGAAACAAAGACCGTGCATAAGCCTGTTGAGAAAGACCTCGACTCCCTTCTCAGTCAAATTCAATCATACGAACAATCAATGCCAGTTCATACTGATGGGAAAGAGAAACTGCCTTCTCCACTGACTGAAGCACCACCAGCACCAATGCAGCCAAAACCAGCTGCGGATCTCTCATCAAAACTCGATGAACTCGAATCTGATGTCGATAAGATCATGAAGACAAAACCAAGCAAGGTCAAGGTCGATGACGTCTGCATTGGAGAGGATGATGGAGCTGACTACGCAATGGATGAAGAAGGACCAATCACATGTAGGAAAATTGCAGATCTTGGACCAATCGCTGGGAAGGATGACGTCGCGACGAAAGATTCTGGGCAAGCCGGCGAAGAAAAACAACCGAAGACTGCCGAAACTTCTGACATTAAAGATGCTAAAGAGAAGACAGAAGACAGCAAGGATGATGGACAACCAGCAAGGACACCAGAAAAGACTCCAGATGAGCCTAAGGGTGACGTCACTGTAACTAGCGCGGATGGAAAGGAAAAGCCCCAAGAGGAATCAGGAAAGGACGACTCATGGCTCGATGAGCAAGTAACGGAAGTCGCCGAAAAGACACATCCCACAAGCAAACACATCGCAGCTTTCCCGGCCACAACCACCAAGTCTCCCCGTAGAAAAGTTGTCGAGTCTCCAGACTTATCCGACGACGATTTGCTAACAGATGAGGCAAAGGCTAAAGCCCGAAGCCCTCCAGCAGCACATTCACCAGACGAAAAATCGAAAGCGGTTGCGAAACCTGACTTGACACCAGATCACGAAAAGGCACCCCAGCCCAACAAGGAGGTAACTAGCACACCATCCCCTCAAGGTCAAACTGCGCAGGAGCCTTCGCCCATAGTGCTTGTGAAAGACGAAGCAAAACAAGTCGACCTAAAAGGATCAGCTCCAGCGGAGCCCATTTCTCCCTCCCCTGGTGAGATGGGTTGGATCGCAGCCGAGCCTCCAGCGGACAAGAGGCCCGTCAGTGAACCCGATGACGTAGTCTCCAAGAAATCCGAAGGAGGCGTAAAAGCTGAGGTCACATCTTCCACACAAGAAGAGACAGCTAGTCACATCGACAGTACACAAACTGGCGACGATATCGATGCACGTCCCTTCAAGCCATCGGAGGTCGATTCTCAATTCCTGAAGACCGAGGATTCCATGAATGGTAACGCTGGTGGCGATGCCGAGAGCACCGTAGTCCATGAGCTGATGGATGCCGGTGGAATTTTGTCAGCGTTGGTGCCGGGAGCTGCCCAACGGTTTGAAGGCCTACACCATGAGGAGCCCACCGCCGCTGCGCCGAGTGGCGCCGACCCGGGCCCAGCCAAGCAAGCCGACGCAGCACCGAGCAGTGCCGTCTCTGGCGTTGCCCCAGCGGAGCAGAGCTTCTCGCCGACTGCGCTGCCAGTCGAGCGTCGAGAACTAGGAGAGGGCCCGGGGGCGACGTCGGGCGCTGTGGATGTAGTAGATGTCGCTGACGGTGCAGGCGGTGGCAGCGTGGGATGGATCTCCGAGAAAGTGTCTGAAAAAGACTCGGGACGAGATGCAACGGTTAGTGAGAAAGTGACTGAGGTGACTACCAAAGAAGATCCACAAGCTTCACCACCAGATACAGTTCCCAAGACTGAGATGGAAGACACCACTTCAGCTGGTATTATTCAGATAACAGAAACAGCGGCAGATGCCAAAGATGTAGGCGGTGGCAAACAAACAAAACCATGTGGCGATAAAACGAAAGAAGTTGAAATGGAGGACGTTATCATTACGGAAACCACTCAAGCTTCCAATGATAAGGCTCCTGAACAAACACTCGGAAAAATGTCTCCCTCAAAGCCGCTAGACACAGACGAAAAGACTGTAGAATCGACCACCAAGGGCGCTAGCCACCTCGCGCACGATGTACCCGAAAAGGATGCAAAAGGAAAAGAATCTTCCACTTCGGCGACATTGTCCTCTCTCGCAGACAGCGCAAGCGAAGGCTTGACTACCCAAACCCAAGCCGTAAAAGAATCACCGGCTGCTCAACTGCCAGATGAACCTGCAGTCTCACCTGCCAAAAGTACAGATAAGGTGCCCGAGGAAACGACAGCAAGTCACATAGGGCATGTCATACATGATACTATTGCAGCAGCTGAAGACCGAGCAGAAAAGGTCATCTCATCGTTGTCAACAACTATCTCTTCACTTACAGAAAGAACCAGCACAGAATTAGGTTCCACAGGTGACACTGAAGTTATCGAAAAATCAGAAACAGTTACTGCATTAGGAGAGCGGGATTCCTCCGTACCTGTAGAACAGGTAAAACAACAAGAGGGTTCGCCTGTAACTGATCTAAAACATCTTGCACATGATGTGCTTGTGACAGCAGAGTCAGAAGTCGAAAAGGCAGCTTCAACGATTTCGTCCACATTAGCTTCCTTCGCAGAGAGTACGGGTATCGTATCGCACACTGATAGTGTCAAGGCCCCGAAAGATTCCACCGAAAAGATTCCACCGAAAGATTCCACCGAAGAGGATAGGCCCGCACATAGGCCGAAAGAGACGACAGACGTATCTGCCGAAGAGTCGACACTAAAACATCTGGAGCATGTCGTTCATGACACCATCGTTGCTGCAGAGTCTGAGGCCGAGAAAGTGGCATCAACCATCACCTCCACGCTATCTTCATTTGCAGAAAGCGCTGGTCTAGGACTGGGCATTGTCTCCGCTGAAAAACAGCAGCCTGAATCTTCTACAGAGCCTGTTGGTGGAAAGCCCGCCGAAGCATCAACGGTCAAAGACAAGGCTTCTGTTAGTGCAGACACACTCGTGACCAAATCACCTGCCGAGAAGAGCCCGACGTCGGACACGCATCTACCAGCCTCGCGGTCACAGTCCACACCAGTAGCGGCATCACCTGTAGATGTTCCCAAGGACCTGATACGTCAAACATCTGACAGCACCCATCCGGCAGGCGCCGCAGAGCCGGAGAAGAAAGCTTCCGTCACGGATCTGGTAGATAGCGCCAGCAAGGAAGTAGCAGCCACCGCTGCTACAGTCGAAAAGACTGTCTCAGGCCTGATGAGTTCTGCAAAGGATGTACTGAGCTCGGGAAAGGAAACTGTTCAAGATGCCGCTGAAGCTGTGCGAGACGATGTGAGTAAAATCGCAACCGATGTTTCGAAAGAAACGGAGGAGGTGTTAACAAAGGCTAAAGAATCTACAGAGGGGACTGCCGCCAGTGTGAAAGAAGACACAGCTCACGTTGTTACTTCAGTTGGCCAGTACATCGCCGAAGCGTCCGCCAAAATTGAAGATTTTATGACAGGAAAGAGCAAACCTGAAAGTGCTGAGGATCTGTCAGACACGGATACAAAAGAAGACACCTCAAGCATAACCTCCAGGTTTATGGACAAATCTGAACAGATTTTCGAGGAAAACGGTAAGAAATCAGATGACATAAAAGAGATAGCTAAACCGGAGACCCAGGCACAGGAACTGAGAAAGGACGCCAAAGAAATCGTTTCATCTGCTAAAGACGTGGTGGAAGAGGCTGTCTCATCCACAACTGCATCTACAACGGGATTGGTCACGCCACCAATGACACCATCTGTCTCAGACAAGGAAGGAGCAGCAAAAGATCATTCATCCTTAGCTGCGGAAAGTAAGCCTCTTGATACTAAGTCTGACTCATATACAGCAAAGAAGGACAGCCATGACGATCTCGCTGGTGCTGGGTCACTCACTTCAGCGATTGGCTCCACCTTGCAGTCAGCTGGTCAAATCCTATCGGATGCAGCACTCAGCGCTGCTGAGAAGCTCGAGAAACAAATCATTTCTGTAGATGATGCTGATAAATCCTCGTCTGTCACTTCTAAACAAGCAGAAGAGACTCCACATCCCGCGGAACAGCGACCAGACAAGGAATCGGCCCAGTCATCTACTTCTGGAGTGCTGGACACGATAAGTTCGTCCGTTGCCACCGCCACGGATACCACCAGTGCCACAGCTGAACGCATTGGAGACTCTGCCGTGCAGATGTCGTCGGAGGCTGTGAGCGCAGTTCAGGAGAAGGCTTACGATGCCAAAAATGGCATTCTGGAAACCGCAAAAACGGCTCAGGAGTTCACAGAAAACACAACTGAGAGCCTAAAAAGAGATATGAAAGAAATGGCTGCAGAAGCACACCAAGCGGTAGATAAATCTGCAGATAAGATACTAAAGACGCCGGAGGAAAAAAGCGACCTCTCTAAAGATATAAAGGACAGAACAGCAGATGCAACCAAGACTGCTGCAGAGGTTGTGGATAGAGTAACTACAGCTGCCAAGGAGAAAGCGGCTGAGACGGACGCGTCCGTTGAAGCTGCAAAAGACAGCTTACAGGAGACGGTACGAAGTGGTACAGATTCGGTTGCCTCAGGAATTGAAGAAAGTAAGCGCAAAGCGGAAAGTGTGGCAGATGCTGGAAAACAGGCTGTTACCGACTTTGTCTCATCCGTTGATGATAAGGGTGCATCAGCGTTCCCTGCTGCTGAACAGGCAGTGCACAAGACAACGACTGAAGTTGCCTCCGCAGTTGAGTCAGCAAAAGAAACTGTTGCGGACTCAACGGCAGAGTTCATTACAAAGGCCCAGTCAAGTGCAAACTCGGCGACCAAGGAAAAAGAAAAGGAGGCCGAAACTATTGCAGCTACTGTGGGTGACTCAATAGCAGGTGGAATACATGTAGTCAAAGACGCGGTTGAATCAGTTGCTGCAGACATCAAAGAAGGATTCACCAGTGTGTCACATGAGGCCACCGAGAAAATTCATTCAGCGCTTGAGTCCACTGAGCAAACGACCAAAGAAAGTGTAGGTAGCGTGCATGATAAAGAACAATCGTGTGTGCCAGCAACTACAGAAGCCGTTTCAGACGCCCTCAAACAAGCATCAGATACCGTTAAATCGGCTGCAAAAGTGTCTAGTGAAAGTGCAGCATCAGAGGCCGAAAAGACCAAAGAATTCGTTGACTCCGCCCGCGAAGAAGCTGCACAGCTCGCCGCTAAGAAGAGTGAGGAAGCGATGACTGTTGCTGCAGACATCACAAAAACGGTCGGTGATTCTGTATCCAGCACAGGGGACGCACATCCCGATAGCGCTAAAGATCAGGTCAAGCTAGTGGCCAAGGAATCACAAGATGTATTGTCTTCTGTCGCCAAGGACGTTGCGGATGACGTACAAACGGCCGTCAAATCTGTGTCGGATGTCTCGGAAAAGGTAGTGGAAGAGACGAAATCGGTGGCCAAGGAAAGTGAGGAGCCAATAGTACAGCATCTAAAGGAAGCCAAATATCGTGCAGGTGAAATGGCGGCAGATTTAGGTGAGGCTGCAAAAACTCATATTCAGGAAACCAAGGAAGTTGCCTCTAGTATGACAAAATCTACCGACCAAGTTCAGCAGGATACTACGGATCAAACGAAGTCAATCGTGAGCGACGCCAAAGACACAAAACAGGCCCAGGTCAGTGATGTAGCAGAAAAGACAGCGAAAGAACTGGCAAAGCAAACTGCAGATAACCAAGATCAACTAACAGAGTCCCTGAAAACTTCTTCCGACTCAATTAAGACTGGCTTAGCATGCTCAGTAGACGAAATAGCGTCGGCTACTAAAGAAGCTCAAAAAGACGCCGCAGTCGAAATAAAAGAGACCAAGAAAAGTGCTGAAACAGCGACGCAGGACATCAAGGATACTGTCAGCGCTGCAGCTGAAGAAGTTATTGCAAAGGCAGATGACGCCTCCAAGCAATCTCAAGAAGCTTTATCAAGCGTTATAGCTAGTGCGACGGACACTACAAAGGCTGCAAAAGGGGACACAGAAGAAGGTCTAAAGGAAGCGGCGAAACAAGTTCAGGATCAAGCAGACCAGGTCAAAACAGCCGTAGAGCGAGCGATAACTGATGCGGCTCAATCAGTCGGAGAGCAATCGGCGGCTGCAGCAAAAGCTACTGATGACACCCTTACAACGAGCATTACAGAGATTCAATCACATGTCACAGACGCTGTGAAAAACGCCAAGGATTTGGGATCTCAGGTAGAAAAATCGTCCGCCGTCGTTGTAGAAGATGTTGGAAAGAAAGCAGCCGAGACCGAGAAGCAGGCTGAAGAGGCTCTGTCCGTAGCTGAGGAAACGCTTACCAGCGCCGTGAAAGGTGCATCAAGTGAAATCAAAGCAAAAGCTCAGGAAGCCGATGTGGCGATCTCGTCCGAAGTGCTAGGCGTTAAGGAGAAAATGTACACTGTTGCTCAAGATGTAGATGATTATGTTAAAGAGAAGTCTAGTGAAGCTCAAAAAGATATCAAAGGAATTGAAGAAACACTAGCCACCAAAGTTGAAGGAACTTTGGAACAAGTTCAAGCCACAGGCGATGAGATGAAAGAGACATATACGAAAACTGTCACTGACGTTGAGCAGCAGGTCAAACAGGCTAGCTCCGAAGCCCTCCAGACCGGGCATGAAGTCGTGCAGCAAGCAAAAGAGACAACCAGTCGCCTACAAGAAGACGCCAAAGAGACAATGACCGCCGCTGACGAGCAACTAAGCAGTGCCGTCAAGGGAGCAGAGCAAACGGTCAACTTGGGAATCGAGAAACTCGGACAACTGGCCAGAGAGGCCGACAGTCAGCTCAGCCAAGCCAAACAGGGTGCCGCAAAGGCCGCTGATGACTCCGCACGAGCTGTTGGAGACACACTGTCCGGCTTGGAAAAGGGCGCTAGCGACGCCATGCAAGAAGCAGAGAAAGTGGCAAAGGCGACAGCTGGCACCGTGGCGACTGGAGTCGAATCCGTAGTCCAGGGAGTTAGCTCAGGGCTTTCAGAGGCAGAGCAAAGCCTGCAAGCAGGCGCCGAACAGGCTGCAACTGAGGCATCGGAGATGGCCGAATCCATGTACCAGAGCGCAGAAGAGACATTAGAAGAAGCCAGCTCATCCGTTCGCAGTACCTTCGGAGGACTGTTTGGCTTCGGCAGACGCAAATCAAAGGATACAAAAGAAGTCAAGGACACAAAAGAGCCAGACACTAAGGATGTCAAAGAATCACCGAAAGCAGAAAAGAAGACCAGCAGTGGTGGATTCTTCAGCAAGATGTTCGGACGCAGGTCGCCGGAGGAGCCTGCGAAACCCGCGACTGAAGACAAGCCCGATAAGCCAGCGGTCTCCGAGCACCAATCCGCACCAGAGCAGCAGAGTGAGGTGGTCGAGGAGCCCGTTGTGCGTCGGGAAATTCACGCGCCGAGCGAAGAGGAGCGTCGCTCGTCTTCAGAGCTCAGTGACATCCGCGAAGAGGCGTCGGGCAGCTCGAGCACGCGAGAGCCATCCTCACCCCGAGCACCGTCCACCTTCGAAGCTCCTCCGGCTGGCGCCGAGGGCGGGGAGCCACTGCGCCGGCCGCGCGACGCGCTCGACCCCATGACCAGCTCGCTGCACGAGTCGTTCCACGACGTGATGACCGGCTCCTTCCACGAGGCCCTGCAGGGAGGCGAGGAGACACTCGGCCTGCCTGGAGTGGAGTTCCGCCAGCCACGCTCCCCTCCTCAGTCCCTTTCCCCGGCCACTAACCAGCAGGACGGCGAGCCTGACGAGCCCGTTCCCGGGTGGGGCCCGCCGCTGGGTCTTCCTTCGCCAGTCCCGCCACCAGACCATGGCGGGGTGCAGACGCCACCGCCCACCAAGCGCGCCATCATGTCCAGGGCGCGCGCCAGTGACTCGCCGCGCGGAGGGCGGATATCGGGACCGCCACCAGTCTACCTGGACCTGGTGTACGTTCCACATCACGCCAACAGCTTCTACTCGGGCGTGCAGTTCTTCCACCGTGTGCGCGCCCGCTACTACGTGTTCAGCAGCATCGAGCCAAGCCGAGAGGTGTTCAACGCTCTGTTAGAGGCCAAGCAGCAATGGGAGGACAAAGACTTGGGTAAGTGCGTGAAGCTCTGCAAACCAGTCAGGATAGCTTTGCATCTGATTATACAGATAACTGTATAAGGTTAATTGTGTTTCACATAAGTACTGCACAAGTTGAAGCGTTTTGCCTGACTTAATCGAGCAGTACTTTGAAGCTCATGAAAAAATCCACTCAAAGTTGAGTTTAACTTAAAAATCAACATTTTCTTTTGCCTTTTCAAGGATGCACTCAAATAAGCTTCAAACAATCAATAACGATTTAGAATTTCTCGAACGCAAAGGTACAAAGACTGTGGTCAATTTAATATTTGCATCGTCCCGCTGTTTTCATGTACACTTAGCACGGATGTTTGACGTTGTCCATTCTTATGCGTCTTGCAGAAGTCACCATCATACCGACCTATGACACGGACACCCTCGGTCACTGGTTCGCCTCTAACGAGCAGCAGCTGGAGGACCTGAGGATCGACCTGGCGCCCTCGGCCAGCCGCTGCACCATCAACCTGCAGGACCACGAGACCAGCTGCGCAGCTTACCGGCTCGAATTCTAAACACCAGCGCGCACTAGAGAGTGCGAAAGCACCGAGCATAGACTGAAACCAATAATCAGCGATAGTGAAGTGTTCCAGAGTGTGGAAATCATTACGTCCATCGGAAGCAGGGTGTTTCTCTCGAAAGCGCGTGTCTCTGTCCGAAGAGGCATCAGCTCTCGAAAGAAAACGCCACTTAGCTCGAGTGTACTGCGAAACGCGCTATCGCGTACGCGCATCGAAGCGCCGCTCTTTGCTGGCGATAGCACTAAACAGTGGACGTTTTCGCGCGTCCGTCCGTGGTCCAGCGGACCGCTCTAGGATAACAAATTGTGTGGAGAGAAGTAGCCAGGCCGACCGGTGACGTCATAGGACAGTCAGCGTGACGTCATCGGGGCGGTCGTTGTGACGTCGTCAGTGCCGACTGAGGAGGCGGATTTTGTTCAGTTTCAGCGGCGAGAGGCCGGACTTGGGCTGTGGTTGGTGTCGCCCTCCCTCATCTCTCTTTCGCGCGTGAATGGGAGTGCACATGCAGGACTGTAGCGAGCGTGTGAGGTCGATGCCCGGGTGATCTTGTTGCCTTGTTTGTTGAATGACGCTGAGGCCGCGCCGGGCGACCGGACCGTTGTCTAGGGGAGCTGTCCTTCATTTATCCACGCCCTCCCATCCAAACCCCTCCTCCACTGCCAGCACCACTCTTGCCAGCATCGAGCTCGGCAAAGATGGACAAGAAAGGAAGAACGTGGTTGAAGAGACAAGGCCATGGCCAGAGGAGACGCAGAGAAAGGTCGCTGCTGAGACAATGCGGACTTGAAACCAATAGCACTGATGGTGCTACAGGTCGTGTGAACACCGGAGCCAACGACCTGTTTTGTAGAGGACAGCCAGCCAGATCCGGGAAGTTCCTCCTAGTGCTGTCTTCGGGCATTTTACAGCTCTCATGGCGTGGCAAACCCCATTAAAATGAATCTCACAAAGCCAGGGAGAAGCGAATGAAGACATCCATGCCTACGATGAGCCGTATTATCCACATCGCTTGAAGATGCTGAGGTGTGTTCGCTTTCTTGACCGCAACATCATCTGAGTTCTTATGAAATTTGCACGACAGCTATATTCCTTTAAATCCATTTTCTTTCCCAGACTTGCGTGAAGCGCTTCCAACTGAAGCGCGTTATACCCATCCGTTTCGTAACGCTAGTCTCGTTTCTCTTCCACCCACGGCTTCCTTGCGCCTCCGCAGAAGACGTTTGTCCGGTCGCTCGGAAACCCGCTGTAGATTAGACGCTTTCGGCACCCGGGCTAAGAAGTTGCGGTGACGTGAGAGTGTGAGCTATTCTCCAGGCGAGAGGGCGCGTGTCCTGGGGTGTGTTGATGGTTACCAGAGAACCCAGGGGAGGCTGATGTCATAGCGACGCAGCGGAACGTGATCTCAGATGCAGAGTGCAGTGTGTCGCAGCTCAGCCGCCCATTCCCGTCCGCCGGCGCGGCGGTAGCTTCGCGTCCTCTCTTTCAAGTAGCTCTCCAGGGAGCGCGTCCTGTTCCTAGCGAGGCTCCGAGACGGCTCCTGTCTGAGATCGTCCCGCGTGGGTTTAGGGGCACCCAGAGTGCCGCCATGCACGGCGGCTAGGATGGGGACCGGCCTGTGATCGCCCGCTCTGGAGTTGTGTTCGCTCCCGTATCGCGCATAACCTATGTTACGTGTGATGTGATACCTATGGCTATATTTAATCAAATGTTTTAGTGAAAAGGTATGTTTAAGGAGTTAGAGGGATGGCACACAGCATCCCTGAAGAGACTCAACTGTTTCGTCGACGTTCTGTGCTTTCGAGCAGCTCATATTTGCCATAATTCTGCTACTTTGATCGTACGTTAGTCATAAACACGTCTGCATTATAAATCCACGACTTACCTTTCTCACGCCCCGTTTCCTAGTCCTCCTTTTGTCTAACCAGAGCACTATTTGGCCAGCATTGTGATATAGCTTTGTAGCCAGCTGATCAGAAAGAACGGCAGAGTCGCCGGAAGCGCAGCGAGTTGCGAACAGTCGCTTAACTGTTAGCTGAATGTCAAAATACACAGCGAGGTGCGACGATCTTTGTGTTATGTGAAGAGGCTGAGGTAAAAGGGTAGGTACAAAGTGTGTTGTATTTTGGGAAGTAGCTGTGATGAAGGGGTACGAAATGAAAGGGCCGAAACGAGAAAAGACGCAGTGACTGCGGATTTTGAATACAAATAGGATAGCTGGGAAGTTCGACGACATTAACATGGCTAAACGTGAACAAAACTAGCAGTGTAAAAGCCACAAACCACTGTTTTATTTTAGCTCAGCAAGACTACCACGAACTTCCATCTCATGCCATCCAACGGAAAAAGTATCCATATTTAGCTTTGCAGGCATATTCATCGTAATCGATAAGAAATATAGCGCAAATGAGTCGTCTCACGGAGTGATTCTTCAAAAGAAAGCAAGTATAACAACGCATCTCAGTTTCTTATCAGCAATACATTTTGCAGCTTAAAAGGGCAAGCTGCGTTTTACAGCTTTAATCAACGTCACTTATAGGGTTTAGCGTTTACAACAACATTGACTTTGGGAGAAGGTCCAACGGTGTTCATAAATAAATAATCTTAACAGTGTTGTTACTAAAATACATCATGGGTATCATAAACTAAGGTAGTAGAAGCAAGGCGCTGCCAATAACTTATCGTATGAGCACGGGCCTGAACACACAGGACACGAGAAATTGGCAAAAGGTGGTGACGGCAATAACACTTCTCCGCTGAAAAAGGTCAATTGGGGTGACGGATAAACTGCACTTGGCCAGGGACCTCTCTTTTTATTAGTTTACTCAGAATGCTTTAAAACAGCCCTCTTTTCTGCCTCTCTCATTGACTGCACGTCATAAAGGAACTCATAAAAACGCATCAAAAGAGCTCCAGCCGGTTCAGATACTCAACGGTCGAATGCTCAAAGATACAAACAGAGCTAATATCTTCTGAGAGAATTATGTCAGTCCATGAAATCCTCGGGCGGAGATCAGCTGGTCGCTGAGCCGGCACAACGGTCAGCTTCGGCAGCAAAAACGGAGCAGCCAGCCGGCACTCGGTGGCGTGGCAGACAGCTTTTTGTCAGCCCCGGAGTTACTGATTTGTTGTGCACTGCGAGTCCGATAAGTCAGCCAAACTGATGAGGCTAAGACATGACAAGAGAAAAAACAAAAATTTGTGGCGAACAGAGTGGCAATGCTTCAGTCCCAAACCGATTTCCATAGTTACTGTCCCGCTGTTTCTTGCAGAAACTGGGTGCATCAAAAGGAAATACCAATAGCTTGTAACGGGAAAAACTGATATTGAGGCATATACAGAAATGATGGAAATTAACACATCAACAGCAGATCCGTTAACACCACACGAGCAATGATAACTGCAATTCTGGACATGTTATTTTCTTCAGGCTCTTCGAGGCTGCGGTTGTGCATTGTTTGGCTCAAGCGAACCGACTTATTCTGATGACACATGCTTTTGTAGCCCCATAAAAAAGGTAAAACGATTTTAAATGGCGAGAACAATACTGCTGTAATATCATGCACGCTTCGTTACTGCAATACCATATCGGCTGTTACTACATATATATCTTATGATATCAATAAAAGAGACACTGGTCTAAAGGTCTAAGTTCTACGGGCGTGCAAGTCGAATTCACTTCACGCATTCACGTCTATAAGTCAGAAAATCGTACATTCCTTTCATAACAAATTGTTTCATGAAAGCCACCAATTAATTTTTCTTACACACACCAATGGAAGTTTAAAAGCGTCGCGTGAAGCATGAACTAGCTTAAATCACAATTTCAAGTCGTAAATCAATTGATGTGGGTTCTTGCTGCATGTGTTCTCCCACTAACCATGTTTTCTAACTGAAGGAATAGCCGAAAAACAGGCAAGCAGGGGATCCATGCATTCTAGGGGGGATGGGGCATGCAATGTCGGCACCGGCAACAGAAGAGTACAGTTACAGCGTGACTGTAAGTCACGCTTCTGTAACGTGATGCAATAAAGTTCAACTGGTCTGTCCGGCTTGTGCTCTGGTGGGTAAGCAAAATAAAGATTTTCATAACGAAACATCAGCTACTTTCGATTCGTAGTGCAGGAATTGAGGCTTGCATTCGATAAATTTCATGACTTGAATTGAACTTGTGAAAATTTAAGCAACAGCAATGCTTTCCGGAAGGCAAAAATACATAGCGTTTAGCCTATGCTAAATTTCAGCATCAGCACTCAAGCATCAAATGCAGTTTCGCTCCACTAAAGCAAATGCATGCAAAGCAAACATTCCAGCTAACATTACATGATTTTAATACCGGAGTTATCCATGCCATACATTTGTTCCTTATGGCTGGAGGATGTAGGCGGGAGTTCCTTCTAGCAAGAAAACTATGTTCTGCTTCCGAACTTGATATTGAATAACATCATACAGCTAGCAGTTGATCCTTATGCAGGGAACATCTACTTAAGTGTTTTTTCTTAGTATTTAAATGCGGAAGGTTTCTTCAATTTTAATCTTCGGAAGATCTTCGCGGTCTGGCAATGTGTTCACCGACATAATGCTACTTCGTTATTTATATCCTCACTCTCACTCAAGCCAAAAAGGAGATTTAACAAACACGAAATACAAACTTTAGAAAACAGGTGAAATGAATAACACTGTGTCGATCTTATTGTTAAATTTTCTTCATTGAATGAGTGTAAGGCACAGTCACTGATTGTCATGCATGCGTTCTCTTAAAAATAAAATATAAAAATGTGCATCGGAACTCACGTCTCACACATGCTTCACATTTACCAGCCTTCATATCTTCGATCTGCTGTCTTCTCATCCTCAAGATACGCATCTTTGTAATAGGAGATCCCGACTCTGACATCGGACACGCGCGTCTTATTTACAAGACTCCCAAGGCTCAAACAGCAGAAAACACGGTAGCTCCATTGAAGTGAGAGGAAGATAGACAGAGTCAGAGAGGGAACGAGGGAGAGCAGGACACAGAGAGAGAGAGAGAGAGAGAGAGAGAGAGAGAGAGAGAGAGAGAGAGAGAGAGAGAGAGAGAGAGAGAGAGAGAGAAAGAGAGAGAGAGAGAGAGAGAGAGAGAGAGAGAGAGAGGAAGGGAGGGAGGGAGGGAGGGAGGGAGGGAGGGAGGGAGAGGGAGAGGGAGAGGGAGAGGGAGAGGGAGAGGGAGAGGGAGAGGGAGAGGGAGAGGGAGAGGGAGAGGGAGGGAGAGGGAGGGAGAGAGAGAGAGAGAGAGAGAGAGAGATAGAGAGAGAGAGAGAGAGAGAGAGAGAGAGAGAGAGAGAGAGAGAGAGAGAGAGAGAGAGAGAGAGAGAGAGAGAGAGAGAGAGAGAGAGAGAGAGAAGCCAGTCTAGTACCACTGCGCCCTGCTCCCCACGTCAGCACGAACACGAATCTGTAGGGCGGTCAGGGCCCAATCCTGCTCGTCGGGATGGGGAGATGCCGGCCTGTTGACGTCATCTTGGTCACGTCATGGAAGCAGAATGAGGTCACACATGGCTGCTGCTAGGTGCAAAGATTCAGATTCAGATTCAGATGTATTCGAATGAGGTCCACACAAAGCGGTGGCTTTTCGCTCAGTCACGTCATACGGTAAAACAAAATGGAAAGTATGACACACGCACACAATCACATATTCATCACCACAATTATACAAACACATCGAAACTGACCATCAGCGACTCGGACACATCTGTGCTACATTCAGCAGCCTATAGCGACATAGTAGCCCGCCTCAGCGTAGCCTTAAATGCCGGCATGCCGGGCTCTATGCGCATGTCATTCATCAGCGACACACCTCGGTAACAAAGACGGCGTCTCCCAGACTCTGTGCGAATAGCGGGGAGGGTGAACGAATCGGCTCGTCTTGTTTGGTGCTGGTGCCGCTGGCAGGCTCTGGGTCCGATGGTCTGTCTTAAATACTCGGGCTGACCGGACACAATCACACGCTCGACGGCATATACTGCGTGGTACGATACCAGCTGTTTAGCTGTGAACCACCCCAGCTGCCGTATAGCTCCGGACACATGGTCGTACTTCCTTTTACCGGTCACGACCCGTGTGCAAAAGTTCACAATCTTCTGCACACGGTGGAGCTGCGTATCCGTACAGGAGCCGTACACTGACATACAGTAGCGCACATTCGATAGAACAAGTGCTTGAACGATACATTTTAGTGCAGTCCTAGGTATCACATGGCGTGCGTGGTTCAGGGCGATTAGAATTCCGGTGCATTTGCGTGACATGTCATCAATATGCGACTCGAAAGTAAGATGGCGATCGATTGACACTCCGAGGTTCTTGACTACCTTGGCATCAGGCACTACCGTCCCACAGAAACTGAGCGTGACCGGCGGCAGCCCACGAAGCATCGCCTGTGTCCCCATCACGAGCATCTGTGTCTTTTTAGCATTCAGCCTCATCCCATTTTGACAAAACCAACTATACACATCAGCCAGTGCACCCTCCATTTGCGAGACAAGCTGCTGCATCTGACCCTTCTTCCCCGTTACCATCAGTTGCGTATCATCCGCATATTGGACGACAGTCACATTGTCTGACACGCACAAGCTCAGATCGTTTGCAAAAAGCATGTAGAGGATATAGCTCAAGGCACCGCCCTGATACACACCAATGACGTTGTCTCTGACGTCAGATAGCACTGCCGAACCATCCGCTCGCTGCACCCGAACCTGCTGAGTGTGATCTGCCAAGTAGCTGCTAAACCAGTCTGTATCTATTCCGTAAAGGGCGAGCTTTTCTAACAATTTGTCGTGAGGAACGACATCGAAACATTTTGATAGATCCAAGAGCACCAAGAGGCAAATTTGACCGTTTTCCATGGCGTTAAGTGCTTTATCAGTTATGACGTGAAGCGCCGTTTCGGTAGAGCGTTGTTTTCTATAGCCGTGCTGTGCATCCGAAAGTAAATGGTTGTTCTCGAGGTAATCTGATAGCTGTTTTTGCACAACACGTTCAACCAATTTCATGATGGCAGGCAGAATGGAGATGGGTCGCGTGTCGGAT